GGGGATCGGTGCAGAGGGAGAGGGAGAAGCAAACTCCCACTGAGCAGGGAGCCCAACAAGGGGCTCTGTCCCAGGACCCTGAGATCATGACCTGAGCCGAAGGCAGCTGCTTAACCGACTGAGCCACCCAGGCTCCCCATTAATTGAGGCCTTATTAAAGGTGCTTTTAACTTTTCAGAAACTAAATGTGCAGAAGGGAATTTTTCGGTCTTCTATTTCAAAAAGGAAGAATTTTTGAGTTAATTGGGGATGATTTGTTTTCATGATTTATTTTTAAAGATTCTTTCTTCAGCTATAGTACTTGAAAAATATTTAAAATTTTTATAACTAGTTTTTATGTAGATATTATCCCTGAACTATAAAAATCAGAATGTTGAAATCCACTCCAAATGGGTTTAAAACTGGCCAGATGTCTTATAGAGTCAAGTACTTTCCCCTGTAATACATTCGCCCAAGTTGGCTTTGTTAACTTGAATTTAAGGACTTTATACTTGACAGTAAAGACTTGTTGGTTCTTGTATCTTTTCCTGGTTTAGCTGAGTAAGTAGCAAACACAGCTACGAAACACATGTTATGTTAACATAACTTTCTGGAATAGTTTACTGTACAAGTCATATTAATCTTTTATTTTCCTCACATAAATCACAGATAAAGAAGACCTCTCTTCAAATTGCCCAGGACCAACTTCGGCAGATCACGACTAAGATTATTTTCAATAAAGTAGAAACTTGGGAAATGTTTCCTAAAAATAGACAATTGAACAGTTAGAATTCCCACATTATGCCTAAAGAAAGAGGGCCTTTTATATGTTGTGTTCTTTTTGTAACTTTGGAAATACTTTGTACTTTATAGTTGTTCATAGACTTCAGAAAAATAACGGAATGCTATTTCAGAACACCAGTGTTACAGACACGGGCAATTACAATTCAAGACTCGATTGTGATGCTTCTGGGGCTTAAGGATACCTCTCTTATTCCCCTCTTCACTTTGGATCAAATTGAGAAGTAAGACATGGGAGTCAGAGAGAGCTCAAAGTGTCGGCTTTATTTATCATCAGTGAAGCTGGAGTAGAGAGCAAGGTTGACTTGTTCTCCTGTCAGGCGCCCTAAAATATCTCCCTGCCTAGACGCAACTACAGACCTCTGCCTCACCAGGGATAGAGCCCACCTTTGCATTCTGAGACCATTCAGCTTTCAAGGTGAGAGAACCCACCAGGGGCTGGGCCACACATGCTGACTTCCTCAATTGTATAATTGCGCTCCATTATACAATTGAACAATACTATTTAATATTTACTTTTTCACTTAAAAAACAATAAAATTGCATTAATAGCTAAAACAAGTTCATCTTTCCTTGGAATTACAGTCAGATACTTTCCTGTCCTTTTAGCCAATATTCTGATATTCATGCAGTCATTCCCAAAGCCACGTGGATTGACTTAGATGGAACAGAGTTAGGCACCAACTTCTTTTTTTCCTCCAGTTAATGACTGTGGAGAAAACCTCCCACCTGCCTAGTGGCCAAGAATATTTTTAATATGTTCACGCATAATTAGGCTGAGAACATACAAATAACTTTGATGGAGTCTGTGACTCTACCAGACTTGTGGTCTGCATTTCCAGGTCAAGGGCTAGAACTAGGCCTCCCTTGGAGAGTGGGAAACATCCCTCCATTCTTATCCATCGACATGAAAAATACAGGCTTTCAATGAGTAAAAATTTATTTTTATTAATGTAAGTCTTCATTGATTTCACAAGGACAATAATGAAAACCAACAGAAGCAAAACATTAAAAAGAATTTTTAAATTTGCTTTAGTGAATTTGAATTTGCTTCAGTGAAATTTATGTGAAATTTGAAACTTAAATTTTAACACATCATGTTATATACTTTTGTTTATACTGTGCTAAGTTTTCAAAGTCCTATCTATAATTTCTAAAGTGTTTCATTTTAATATAAATCCAAAATACCAGAGCTTCTATAATGCAAAATAAACAGACTTTAACACAGAAATTGGTTCGCCTTAAACACCTTTATTTTAAGTGTTATTTGCCATTTAATTGTTGAAATTTGAAAGTGAACATTCTTTAGTATTAGACACATTTTGTAGGATCAAGCATATGAAATTCTTAATACTTTTATTTCCCACCAATGCAAAAGTACTTATGGAGTTACTGCTTTATGCAAGGCAGTACATTCACCACCTTGGGGTGTAAGAAAACGAGAGAGCCTGTCCCTGCTTTCCAGAAATTCACAGAGAGCCGCATAGGAGTTACTGAGCTCCAAGGCAAATTGGTGAGCATAATACCGAGGTACTAAACAACAGCAGTACTAGGGAGAAGTTTCATTCTGAGTGGGGATGATGGAACACTATGAAGTCACTGAATTCGGTCCTGAACGTAACCTGGATACACAGTTACGGGGGTTACAATGTGACCCAGCCCTTCCACTCCCAGGTATTCACCCAAGAGAAACAAAAACACGTCCACATAAAACTTGTCCATGAATATTCATAGTAGCATTGTTCATAATATCAGGAAAGTGGAAACAACCCAAATGTCCATCAACTGATGAATAGATAAATAAAATGTGACATATGCATATAACTGATAATTAGTTGGCAATATAAAGGAATGAAGTACTGATCCATGCCACAACATGGATGAACCTTGAAAACACTATGCTAAGTGAAAAAGACCACATATTGTATGATTCCATTTAAATGAAATGTCCAGAGTGGGCGAATCTACAGAGATGGAAAGTAAATTAGTAGTAGATTAGTCTTTGGGGGAAGATGAGGAATGAGTGCTAATGGGTATGGGTTTTCTGCACAACTCTGAACATACTTGTCACCATTGAACTGTATAGTTTAAAGGGGTGAATTGTATGGTATGTGAGTTATATCTCAATAAACTTTTATTAAAAAAATTTGAAGGGAATTTTAGGTAGAAACCGTAGTAGAGAGCCACTGAGTGCAAAACCTTATTCAAGTAACACAGCCAACCTGTGTGGTGAGGGCTTATTCAAGTAACAGTGAACATGGGTCATGAAGCGGGAGCCTCCAGAGGAGCATGGCCCTGCCAACACCTCGACTTAAGCCCAGGGAAACTCATTTCAGACGTCTGGCCTCCAAAACTCTAAGAGGATAAATGTGTGTTGTGTTCAACCTCCAAGTTTGTGGTAATTTGTCGCAGCATAGAAAACTGATAACAGGTCTCAAATTAACCCCTGAAGAGCCACACATATTTGAGAGATATTTGCCTCACAGTTTTACCTATTATACAGTTTTTAGTCAGAGTTTAAACCAATAGTGAGGCCACCGTACATCGATCAACCATAGTCCCTCCATCTGAGGAAATGAAGGCTTGGGATAGGCCACAGTCACAGATAACAGAATCACAGAATCATAGACATTAAGGACTCGGTGGACATTTCAATATAAAGAGTAAATATCTAAATGGACTGTCTGCCATATTTTGTCCGTTAGCCTGCTTTCCTCTATATGATCTCCCTTGGCAATCCCCTAGATTCAAAGTTGAGCTGCACGGGTTGCTTCCAGATAACATACACATTATTCTGCGTACGATTCCATCCTTTCCATCGTGTCCCTATCGTGTTGTTTCCTACAGTCTGCTCTACATCTTCACCTGAATATTCTGGCTGCAACCCAAACACGGCGTCTCCACGTGAGAGCTCACGTTTTACCTCCCTTAAGTGTTCACCTCACCGTGAGGACAGACATGCAGTGGCCTCACTATTGGCTTAAATTCTAATGAAAAATTGTGTAATAGATAAAAGTGTGAGACAAAATAGCTCTCAAGTATGAGTGGCTCTTTGGGGGTTAATGTGATTGGGGCCTGTATTTCCTGTAATGGCATCCTAATCCAGCCACACGCCTTTAAACAAACCTGGAGGTAATGTCTGCTGCATACCTTCTCCTTAATCCTCACAATTAGTTACCAACTCCTCTTGGTTCTGACCCCACTATTTTTTCCAGGCCGGCACAGCCTCTCAGCATTCTGGTCTTTTAAATATAGTCTCCTCCCGCTCCAACCCATTCTAAGCACACTGTTTCAAAGAACTGGTTGGGTCACACCCACCCCTGCTCAAAAAACAAACACCTCATTTGTCACCTTTGGAGTTTGCCAGGGCACCAACTCATTTTAAAAATAACTATCCCATCTGTCCCATTTAAGTTCTTTATAGAAGAATCACAGATGACAAAGAGGTTTGATAGGATCTGAAAACCCCTATTTTGCAACCCTTAATGAAATAATGGATCCAAAAAAACAATCATCAATGGTTGCCAAAACTGTTAGGTGGAAGATGGGTAGGAAACCTGATAGGACATGACAGCCCCAGAGCCCACCGATCAATCTTCAGAGCATCGACAGTGGAAAAACCAAACATATTCCTCCCAAAGTGATGCCAAAGGAAGTATACAGCATCGCTGATGCATTATTCTTGGGGAAGAAAATCTGAACCAGAATCAAATCAAGTTTCTAGTTCTGACTAGACACCATGGGGATGTTACCAGTCAGATCCTGAATGAAGGAAATTCTACAGGATACGTGATCCAGTTCCTTCCTCAGATAAATGGCAAGAGGAAAAACTGAAAACAGGGGTAAATGTTAGAGTAAGAGACATCAGCTACATACAGTGTTGGATCCTGATTTAAACAACCAGTAAAAATATTTTTTTGTGAAGAAAACGGAATACAGACAAGATTATTGGATGACAATCAAGGAAATCTTATTAATTTTATTGAATGACAATGTTATCATGATTTTGTTAAAATTCAAAAGATCTTATTTTAGAGATACGTTTTTAAGTATTTACAAGTGAAATGATATAATGCCTGAGATTTGCTTTAGAATACTCCAGTAAAAGAAAATTTTAAAGAAGAAGGGGGTATATACAACAAGAAGGATGGAATACTGATCGTTGTTGAAACTGGGTGATGGGTACATAGAGTTTCACTATTCTTTTCTCTCTCTCTCTCTTTTTTTTTTTTTTTTTTAAGATTTTACTTATTTATTTGAGAGAGAGAGCAGGGATTGGGGCAGAGGGAGAGGGAGAGAAGCAGGCTCCCCGCTGAACGCAGAGCCCAACACGGGGCTCAATCCCACCACCATGAGATCACGACCTAAGCCAAAATCAAGATGTATTTAAGATAAAAAAGAATAACTAGGCAGTAAGCAGTAGTAAACTCAACAGCCAGTATAAGAAAAAAAGGTGAACTGTTATCTTTGCAGTTCACCCCCTGGGTCACACCCCTTCTGTCCCTCCTCAGAGAACCACTATGGGATTTAATATTTCTTTATTCCTTTCTTTCCTTTTATTGTTTGACCACATTTGTTTGCATTTCTAAACAAAATTCTTTCCTTTAGCATTCTCTCTGGAACTTTATGTAAAGAGAACCATTCTGTCTATATTTTCTGTAACCAGCTATATTCCCTTAACATTATGTTCCTACCAGATGTATCATGTTACTGCATTTAGCATGTCATTCATTCATTTTCACTGCTATGCAGTATTACAATGTATGAAAAAGAAACTATTTATCCATTCTTCTTGTGACGGACATTGTTTTTTGTTCTTTTGGCTATTATAAACAGAGTTTCTATGAACATTCTTGTAGGCATGCAAGTGGGAATGGAACTGATGGCTTTCAGGGTATATACACCTTCAACTTAACCAGATCAGACCAAATTGTTTTCCAAAATGATTGTATATCACTTATCTTTTTAGGGACACCATATTTCTCTAACAAGCTGGTTAGCTATTTAAGACAAGGAAAGATCTTACATTTTTTGGCCTAGAAAGAGTGAACACTTGATAAATATTATTAGTTGATTGATTCACTAATTGATATAAAAAATTTGAGAGATTCCCCCCCAATGTTTATAATAAGGAGATGAGCCAGGAAAATTAGGCAAATGTATGAATGTTTCTGAAGTTAAAAAAAAAAAAAAGATTCAAACCTTCCTAAAATGTAGTGAAAAATTAAGGGAAAAATTAAAATAGAAGGTAAATACCATCAGCAGTCCCTAGAAGATTTTAGACAGTTACAGAAAAATTGAATATCCAAAGTAGGACACTTTTTTAGAAGGGCTCTACCACGTGCTTCGTTCCTTTTTCACTGCAACATTCTTCCACTCCTTCAAAGTCTCCAGTATTTCAGATGCATTAGGTCGCTTTGTGGGATCCTGTGACAATAATTTCTGCAGAAGAAATTTCTGTAATGATAATGAGTCAATACTAAGAAATAGAACATTGAAATAAATGAAATTCTGATTATTTTCAAGTGCTTACTTCTCTGGCATCAAACATATCTGGGAACTTGTCAGCCCTTAGGTCTTTAAAAATCTGAAAATAAAACATATATATATATATATCATCACTAGGAAATTATTCACTTGGGAGGAAAACCAAACTTGTTTCTTAGCCAAGAAGCACATAGGACTCCCCTTCCCCACCTTGCCCCATCCTTAACATCATGATATGCTGAAGTGTTAAGAGCATCATATGCATTATCTCCCTTCATCCTTTTTGGAATCTTATGTGATAGGTATTTTCATTACCCCATTGTACAGAGAAGGCTGTTGGCTCCAGGCAAGTTCCCTTTATTGAGCTTCAGACCAAGCTGTCCTGTTGCCTAATGTCTTTAGCGGCAAAACCCACTGCCTCCATAAGAAAGTCCATCATCTTGCCTTCATCTAGCCCCAACATGTCTTTCCAGTGCCATCAACCATCGCTTCCTTGTCACATATACTCCAATAAAAATGCCACTGCCTGCTATTCCCACACTCTGCACATTGCTGTCTGAAGGCTGGATCTGCCTTCTTTCTATTTTGGACCATTAGAAGCGAACCAATCCTTCAAAGCTCAGCTTAAATACCCCCATGAAACCGAAATCCCTCTAGCTAGCAAGATCTCTGTCCTAGTCATTTCCACAAAACTTCATGTCTTCTCCCAAAACATGTATGGCATTCTCCTATTTTCCTTTCTAGAATATAAGCTCCTTGAGAACAAGGCTTATTCATTTTTATAACCCTGTAGCACTTAGCACAGTGTCTTATGCAAAGCAGGCAATCCATAAAAGTTTACTGACTGATTCAAGAAACAGCTGTAGTTTTATGAGCTGTACATACCTCTCAAAGAAGACCAAAGGTTTTGGTCTTAAACAAAAAGCTTTGGTTGCCCAAACATGGAAAAGATAAAATCTGTATTTCCTTTTCAGTCAACACGAATATATTCAAGAGATTATTTACCTGTATTGTTTCTGAAACAGTGGGACATATGTAAAGAAGTTCTGCGAGAATTAGCCCCAAAGCAAAGATATCCACTTCTTTTCCATATTCATCTGAAGAAATCTAAAGAGACCAAGATATGTTTACATTCGTTACTCACCCAATATAAATATCCATGTTCTTCTGAAGCCAAAAAAAGTTATTTGACCAAATATCTTCTATCATGTTACAAGACATGTTTGTTAGCAACATCTGTGGAGTCTGACTGCCCTGGTTCCAATCTGTCACTAAATAGCTGCATCACCCATGTAAATGAACCATCAAGGGTAGAATAATCTCAACCATAAAACGGGGATAACGAAAGTTCCAACCTCAGAGTTTGACTGTGGTGTTAAGTAAGATGCAGCAGGTAAAATAGCTAAAATATTTCTCACAAGTGACTTGCATGCAAATGTTCATAGAAGATGTATTTCTAATATTCTGACTGGAAGCAATCTGAATGTCCATCCGCAAGAGAATGAATAAGCACACTGTGGCCTATTCAGGCAATGGAATCGTACTCGGTAACGAAAAGGAATAGTCTGTTGGCATAAGCAACAACTAGAAGTTCTCCAATAGACATTACTTCGAGGGAAATAATCAAATACAAGAAAGTACATAAAGTATGATTCCAGTCATATGAAGCTCAAGACAGGGAAATCCAATCTGCGGTGATAGAAACCAGAGCACTAATTGCCTCTGGGAAGGAGGGATGGACTGGAAAGGGCCTGAGGGAATTCTCACAGGTGAGGATAATGTTCTACATTTTCATAAGCTTATGGGTTTCACAGGAATATGCCTTTGTCAAAAAAAAGTACATTTAAGGTATGTACATTTTATGGTGTATACATCATCCCCTAATAAAATGATTTTTAATTTAAAAACCACTACGAAAATGAAAAGCACAATGATGAATGAATTTTTAAAAAATATTTTTAGGGTGGCAATACAGGGTGCAGGAGATATTTAATAAAGTGGAGTTAAAGGGGGGCCATTAGCCACCTATTGTCTCCCACTTTCACATTCCACAAAAAACTTAAATTATGTCTTTGTGCCACACAGTCCCCAAAGGGAACAGGTGGATTTCCTCTCCATTCTAGACTCTCAAACATCAAAAAGATGAAAAATAGACAATAAACTGCCAACCAAAAAATATAAGCTACTAGAATAGTGAATCTATATATAAGACAAACATTCACAATCAATAGCTGTACAACCAGGTTCATAACAGCAATTTTCACAAGAGCCAAAAGGTAGAGCAACCCACGAATCCACTGATGGATGAATAGATGTGGTCTATCCATACAACGGAATATTGTTAAGCCTTAAAAAGGAAGGACATTCTGGGCGCCTGGGTGGCTCAGTCGTTAAGCGTCTGCCTTCGGCTCAGGTCATGATCCCAGGGTCCTGGGATCGAGCCCCGCATCGGGCTCCCTGCCCTGCGGGAAGCCTGCTTCTCCCTCTCCCACTCCCCCTGCTTGTGTTCCTGCTCTCACTATCTCTCTCTCTGTCAAATAAATAAATAAAATCTTTAAAAAAAAAAAAAAGGAAGGACATTCTGACACATGCTACAACATGGGTGATATTGAGGATATTATGCTGGGTGAAAAAAGCTAGTCACAAAAAGACAAATACTGTATGATTCTACTCACACAAGATATCTAGAGTGGAGAAATTCATAGAGACAGAAAGTAGGATGGTGGTTGCCAGGGCTGGGGGAGAGGGGAACGCAGAGCTATTCGATGGGTGCAGAGTTTCAGTTTTGCAAGATGAAAAGAGTTCTAGAGAGGGATGGTGGAGATGATTGCACAACAACGTAAAAGTACGTGATGCCGCTCAACTGTGCACTTAAAAATGGCTAACACGGGAAATTTTATGTTATGTGTATTTTACCACAATTAAAAATAAATATGTTTTAAAATCAATACACTTATTAATAACCAATTAGATACAAGGAGTCCCATTTTAACAGCAAAACACTATACATATTGAGGGAAATGCTTTAAAAATAGAAGTGGTCAAAAAAAATAAAAATATAAGTGGTCTTCATGAAGAAAAAAATATTTTAAAACTTCATTGAAGAATATAAAAATGGCCGTAAGGTAGGTTTATCATTGCCCCCGGCTGTGCTCTGGCCTCCCAGTAAGAGGACGACACCTGCCATCTCCACCCCTTGGGTTGGGCCATGCACTTCACGCAGGGCCATGATGGGTAGTGATGTGTGCCACTCCTGGGCAGAGCCCACACAAGTCATCACAAGGTTCTACCACCGCCGCCGGCTGTGAGGATAGCAATGACCCAGACAGGGTGCTTCCTTCAGTCTGGGTTCTGGAATGAAGGAGACAACGTGGAACAAAACCACAGCCAGATCGCAGCCAACACATCACGTGGGCAAGAAATAAATCTTTGGTGTTTTGTATGCCACAAAGAGATTGGGAGTCACCGGTTACAGTAAGACTGCCTGGCCAAGGCTGACTTGAGAGAGGACTTGAATAAGTGGGAGAAACCTGTCAATTTCCTGGAGCAGAAGTCTCAGATATATAAAAATGTCAATTCTCCTCAGCTGAATCCTTAAATTTAATGCAGTTGCTGTCAAAAATCTCAACACCAGTGATGGACCATGACAGGCTGATTCTATGGTTTATTCCAAATGGAATAGTGAATGTGAACACTAAGAACATTTTTAAAATGAAGAATGATGTGGGAGGTCCTGCTGTCCAAATACTAAAACTGGTATTATAATGCTATAATAACTGAGACAGTATGATATTAAAGAGAAAAAGATAAAAATAAGTCATTTGGACAGAAGAGCATCCAAAAACAGATGCATGAGTGTGTGGGAATTTCATGTATGATAAAATAGCATTTCTTTTAGGTTTTTATTTAAATTCCAGTTAGTTAACATACAGTGTAATATTAGCTTCAGGTGTACAATATAGTAACTCAACTCTTCCACACATCACCCAGGGCTCATCACAAGTACACTCCTTGATCCCCATCACCTATTTCACCCATCCCCCCACCAACCTCCTCTCTGGTGACCATCAGTTTGTTCTCTATAGTTAAGAGTCTGTTTCTTGGTTTGCCTCTCTGTTTTTTCCCCCTTTGCTCATTTGTTTTGCTTCTTAAATTCCACATATGAGTGAAATCACATGATATTTGTCTTTCTCTGACTGACTTATTCCACTTAGCATAATTCTCTCTGGCTCTATCCACATCATTGCAAATAGCAAGATTTCATTCTTTTTTATGGCTGAATAATATTCATGTGTGTGTGTGTGTGTGTGTCTCCCGCATCTTCTTTATCCACTCATCAGTCGATGGACACTGGGCTGTTACCATAATTTGTAAGATAATGCTGCTATAAACATCGGTCTGCACGTATCCCTTTGAATTAGTAGTTTTGTATTCTTTGGGTAAATACCTAGCGGTATGATTGCTGGATTACAGGGTAGTTCTATTTTTAACTTTTTGAGAAACTCCTATAGTGTTTTCCAGAGTTTACATTCCCACCAACAGTGCAAGAGGGTTCCCCTTTCTTCACATCCTCACCAACATTTGTTGTTTCTTGTGTTGATTTTAGCTATTCTGACAGGTGTGAGGTGAGATATCACTGTAGTTTTGATTTGCATTTCCCTGATGATAAGTGATGTTGAGCATCTTTTCAGGTCTCTGTTGCTCATCTGTATGTCTTCTTTGGAAAAATATCTATTCATATCTCCCGCCCATTTTTAAATTGGATTATTTGTTTTTTGGGTGTTGAGTGTTATAAGTTCTTTATATATTTTGGATACTAACCCTTTATGGGACATGTCATTTGCAAATATCTTCTCCCATTCTGTAGGCTGCCTTTTAGTTTTGTTGATTGTTTCCTTCACTGTGCAGAAGCTTTTTTTTTATTTTGATGTAGTCCCAAGAGTTTATTTTTGTTTTTGTTTCCCTTGCCTCAGGAGACACATCTAGATTGCTACGGCTGATGTCAAAGAGATTGCTGCCTATGTTCTCTTTTACGATTTTTATAGGTTCAAGTCTCACATTTAGGCCTTTAATCCATTTTGAATTTATTTTTGTGTATGGTGTAAGGGAGTGGTCCAGTTTCATTCTTCTGCATGTGGCTGTCCAATTTTCCCAACACCATTTGTTGAAGAAACTGTCTTTTCCCCATTGGATATTCTTTCTTGCTTTGTCAAAGATTAATTGACCATATAATTGTGGGTTCATATCTGGGTTTTCTATTCTGTTCCATTGATCTACATGTCTATTTTTGTGCCACCACCATACTGTTTTGATTACAAATACCATTTTTATTATGGTAAAATATACATAAAATTTATCATTTTAACTGTTTCATGTGTGCAATTCAGTGGCTTTAAGTACCTTCGCAATGTCACACAACCATTACCGGTATCTATTTCCAAAATTTTTTCATCATCCCAAACAGAACTGCACCATTAAACAATTTCCCATTCTTCCTCCCTCAGGCCCTAGTAACTTCTGTTCTACTTTTTGTTTCTATGAATTTTCCTTAAAATAAAAGCTTACATCATGAACTATCTGATACATGGTGATGGGCAACTGCATATCCACATGAGGAAGATCAAGGTATATCCCTTCCTCAGATGTATACAAAAACTGATTCAAGTTAAGTTCAACTAAAGTAAAAACACAAAATATTTTTGTAATGTTGTGGGAGAAATGGCCTCCAAAATAAAAATGAGAAACCCAGCAGCCATAAAGAAAATACTGATAAAACATGACAACTTAAAATTTAAGCTTCCATGATATATCATAAACAAAGAAATAAGGAACAATCAAGGAGAACAAATCTGCAATATGGTTAACAGATACAGAATCAGTAACTGAAATATTAAATATTCCCTACAAATAAATTAGGAACAGATAACCTAATTAAGAAAAATGAAGAAAGGACACAGAGAATCTGCACAAAAATCGTGAAGTAAATACATGTAAAGATGGTCTACCTTCCTAAAAATCTGAAAAATGCAAAGTGAACCAGCAAGATACTCCTCCTTCATCACAGTGGCCCAAACTGCAGTCTGCTAGCACCCTAGTCTGACTGGGAATGGGAAGGAGAAAGCAGCATTCTCCAACACTTTGGGAGGAAGGCATAGTAGAATCACTTTTTGGGGGATGACAATGTCACAGTATTGGCCAAGTTTGAAATGCACTTGTCATTCTATTCAATAATTTCACTTGAAGGAACCTATCATAGATGATCATGGAAATACTTGTTTTTAGAGTCAAAGATAAGGGGGGAAATGTAAAACTTGCTAACAGCCTAAATAAATACCCATCAATAAGAAACAGTTACATAAATGATGGTACAGGTCAGCATACAATACAGTTGCTAAAATGAATGTGTCAGATCCACAGGTGCTGATATAGAAGGATTAGGATACATTGTTGAGTGAAAAAAATTAAGTCACAAAATAACATGACAGTAACTTTGTAAAAGCATGTCCTTATATCTTCGTGCAAAAAGTCTCTATATACATATATATTTGTGTTTATATATGTTTATATATATATATATATATATAAACACAGAAAATTATCTAAAAGGATAAACAACAGACTCCATGAGAAGAGTAGAAAAGAACATTAAAGGCAATTTTCCCTTTTTGTTCTATATGCTTCTGTGTTGTTTTAATTTTATAAGAGGTGTCTATTATCTCTATAATTAGAAATACAAAAGAAGTGGAAAATACATAGAAAGGAAAGGGACCTCACCTGCTCTGGGCTCATGTACCGAAGAGTTCCTTTATTACTTGTCCGATTTGCATACTCTTTCAAGGATGTCACAAGTCCAAAGTCTCCAATCTTTACGTGTTTTGTATTTACTAAAAATATGTTACCTGGCTACAGAAAAAAAAAAAATCCAGTATTTATAAGTACCAATTCAACAGACTGTTATCACATATCCAAATCATATTTAACAAGGGCTATTTTTATATTTCCTTATAAGGCATCTACCCTTACATGGGTAGCCCAAAACAGGATACTCAGTCACAGATCTTTAAAGTACCAGCTGAGGAAGTAAGGACTTCTCTGTCAGCAGAGAAGGCTTCGGGCATAACTGCCTTCAAATATCTGAAGATATGCTTAGTGGAAGGTGGATTCACTCTGCACAGTACTAGAGAATAGAAACAACCAAAGGCTTGCTTTAATATATCCTAATATACTAATAGTGTGGTCCAAAGAATGGGAATTTGAGAGTTCCCATCTCAGGGAGTATTCAAGGCGGGGCTGGACACCGATTTGGTAGAAATGTTGCAAATATGAATCCAGGATCTGTTGGGGGTGGAAGTAGAAGCCCTTCAGATCTCTAAGTTTGAGATTCTCAGAATGAGTCTCTTCTCAATAAAGCTGTTAAGATATCATGTGAAGAATTTCTCCTGGGGACTTCCTTGATGTCAATTTCTCCAGACCCCTGACAACTTCTTAACAAACACACCCCCTCTGTCCTTGAAGGCAGGCCACATCAACTGGAAGCTGATAACTAGCACTTAAGTATTTCTGTTCATGTACATTAATTCTCTAAGCATATCGAAAAAGCGGCGGCGGCAGGGGGGACAAATGGGCACAGGCAGCGTGGGAGACAGAGGTGCTAGGGAAAAGAACGGCCAGGTAGCACCTGTCAGTTTCATGAATTCATCCAGAGGGGGGCCTGGGAGTTAATACCCAAACGTCTGCATTTATTTGCAGATTACTTTATAAGTAATTGTGCTTAAATTTTTTATTTAACTATATATATGGTTTATTCCAAAGTGAAGGTATAGCCATTCTAAATCTGTTCTTTTGAGCATAGTTCTTATAACATTCCAACTTTAAAATGCACCTTTAAGATATCGTTAAAGAAAGATGGAACCAGGGGCACCTGGGTGGCTCAGTCCGTTAAGCTCAGGTCATGATCCCGGCATCCTGGAATCAACTCCCACATTGGGCTCCCTGCTTGGCGGGGAGTCTGCTTCTCCCTCTCTCTCCCTCTCTCTCTCTGTCCCTGCCCCCTCCACCTCATGTTCTCTCTCTCAAATAAATAAAATCTTAAAAAGAAAAGAAAAGAAAGAAAGAAAGAAAGAACCAGGTGGATTCCAACACAAAGGCCTCAAGCCTCCAGCTCCTGGGGGCAGACCAAAGACACACTGTCTTTTATAGGCCAATTATTCCTATTAGGCCCAACAAATCTATACACGAGTGCTTCTTTTTCTCAAGAAACTCTTTCGCTTCATTCCTCATTCCTGGCTATTGTAGATGGGCGGGATAAGCAGACAGCCAAGATCCATATAGATTAGTTGCTTCTGCCAGATCCAGAGTGATCAGGAAAGGCTACGTAAAGAAATTGAGACCAAAGAAGACAAGCAGAAGAGTGTTCCGTGCAAGAAGAACATGAACAGTGTTAGGATTCCGCATGGCTAGTTTGTGATGGGAGTAGACAGATTATAGGGAAGAGAGACTGGGGGACACCGTGAAAAACTCTTCTGTCCCTTCTTTCATTTTGATGAGAAGGTAAAATGGGACAACAGCTCATCTGGACCCTGAAAGAAGCTAGGAAGCCAGCAGAAAATAAAAATACAAAGCTATGTGTTCCAAGTTTTGGATCAGTACAATTTTCCAATCATGGGGTAGAAATGTCTAACCAGATGCCAAGAAAATTCTAGACTCTGGATCCAGTAGCTGTGACTGCCCTCAAGAGTAATGACTTAAGAAATAAGGAGAACCATGTTCCCAAAGCCAGTCACGAGAGTCCCTTCTGCTTCTCAAACAAGCCTGAGTAGCAGCAGAAGCAGGGACAGAGCGGCCCGTTGGCTGTGCTAACCACGGTAATGATCTGCACAGAAATGTTCAGCTTACGAAAGTTGTTGGTGTTTGCAACTGGAGTATGACAAGCAGCCAGATAACACCAGAAGGGAATGAGCTCCTGCCTACAGGGCTCCTTCCGATTGTCTAGATACATTCATTTATCCTGGAGATCTTCTGAGTGGTGCTATGGAATGGTATTTGGGGCAAGTTCTAGATCCATTCTAACTTTAAAGGATCAGAGATATTATTTCCTCAGGACTGTCAATCAATTCTAAAACTAGAGAAGATAGATTTAAAATTACTAAATCACATCAAATCTGAAGAGTACATTTTCCATTTACCTTAAGGTCTCTGTGAATTAGCTGTTCACCATGTATATACTCCACACCTTCTGCTATTTGTTCATATAATTCCAGAGACAAAGGTTTGTCTGTCTTCTTGCCTCTTCTGTTGTCAATCCATGCCTCCAATGTCCCTTTATCACAGAATTCCATTTGGATGAGAAGGCACTTAATCTTTGGTCTGGATACAAAATGTGCAGTACGTTACACGTAGCAATAAAAATAAATTTATAAAAAATAACCTTTCTCTTTAAAATTACACTTTATCTCCTTAAGAACCCCCAAACATGTCTCAAAACAGAAATCTAATAAACTTGAATCAAAATACATCATTTTTAATTTAAATCATAAGTTCCCAAATATCCAGAGCGCTATTTGTTAACTATTTTATAAAGTTTGAGCCTGCCCATTCTTTAATGGTAAAGGATCCTTGATCCCCTTTGCTAATAGGAATAGGAACATTCATACAATGGCATTAAAGAGAACCAAAGTTCATTACTACATAAAATAATTCTGGAACGTTTTAATTTACTATCGACCTACTGAACATCTGTTTTGTGGAAAGCACAGAACAGGCACCTAGAGATGAAAAAATGAGTTAGATACCGTCCTTGCTGTCATGGGAGTTATGGTTTAATAAGAAAGAAATACGGGCAAAACAAATCAAAAACAACAGCGTAAGGATAGGTTCTCAAAGAGAAGTGCCAATAAATTGCTAAGAGATACCTGTGAGGACTGATTTTGCTAACCATGCTTTTATGTTGCTTTCTCAACTAGGTTGGCCTCAATATTAATTTATATTCTTTGAACTTATGTTGGCTAGAAAATAGGAAGAGAAAGCCAAGAATCTGTGGAAAGCTAAAGTCCTGCCTGTATGCTGATGGTCAGCAACCCCTGAAACCAATGATAAAGCTCTCAATTACATGGGGCAGAGCCGGGGCTGGAGTCAGGAGTCGATGAATGAACAGGCCTCAGTGTCCTCGGGATTTCCGTGAGGACGGTCCCCCCAAGAACACTGGCTGACTTTCAGAGGGAGATGTCAGGTCTTGAGAGCCCTCCGGTCCTTTGTCAGGGGCTTGAGACAAAACATAAGTGATACCAGGTGGGGTATCCACATCTCAGCTCATAGTCTTAAAATTATGTTCACTGCCCACCACGCCACTGTAACTGGTGTGGCTGTATTCAAGAGAGACTCCTTGGGGTGCCTGGCTGGCTCAGTCGGTAGAGCAGGTGACTCCTGATCTGAGGGTCGTGAGTTCAAGCCCCATGCTGGGCATGGAGTCTACTTTAAAAAAAATTTTTTTTTTAATTTTAAAAAGATGGGCGCCTGGGTGGCTCAGTCGGTTAAGCGTCTGCCTTCGGCTCAGGTCATGATCCCGGGGTCCTGGGATCGAGCCCCGTGTTGGGCTCCCTGCTCAGCGGGAAGCCTGCTTCTCTCTCTCCCATTCCCCCTGCTTGTGTTCGCTCTCTCACTGTGTCTCTGTCTGTAAAATAAATAAATAAAATTTAAAAAAAGAGAGAGAGAGAGAGACCCTCTTGACTGCACCCCACCAACCAAGGGCCTCTGAGAAGGCCAGAAAAGTGCTGGCAGCTGAGGAGGGGCTTCCAGCTGTAGCCTCTGTAACATGTTCAAACTTTCTCCACAAAGCTGCATTTACAGCCTGGTCTGAGGTTGGGGCATGTGAGTAAGCCTACACATTGATTGAGATTCTGAAAATAGCTGAGGACAAAAAAAAAAATTTTTTTTTATGCAAGTTTGGAGCAAGGAATAGGAGCCACAAAAAGATTATTCATTATTTCCTTACCTGGTGAATAGAGACATAACAGTGTCTCAAACAGTGTGGTTGTGATATTACTAATTAACGGCCTTATCCGGTGGCCCACACATAGTAAATGACAGTTTCCTCCATCCTATTAGGGCTATGAGAATTCTTTTTAGTTACCTTGAAGGATTTACGCTGTCCTCAGGATGGTAATCTTCCCCAGCCCAGCAACAATAGTAGTGAACAATATTTGGGTGATCAAGTGCTGCCAAAGCTTTTACTTCACGCTCTACCTTCTTGCTTTAAAGAAACAGGGAACATAAAAGTGTCATTATACATCCCTGTAAAAACTACAGGTTGAGTAACAGAAGACAGCTATGTATGCTCCCTTAGTCAACGGTCGCCACGGTTCCCACACTCTGAGTGTTTAAAAGGAAGCCAGGAGCACTCGAAAGGAAAGACTGAACACAGTCTGAAAAGAGAACACAGACTGAAAAAAAGCGGTGACTTCATTAATTCCAAATATCAGAAAATTTAAAAGTCATTTGTGGTGGTCTCCGAAATGCCAGTCATGCAAATTTTGGTAGCTAATTCACACATTGTATTTTGTTTAGACTTGTGTTAAAATCACTTTGGGTTTCACAAGCAAACCCTGTTTGGGCAGCAAGGGTAATCCAGGCAACTTGAAGAACATAAATCAGAATTTTCAATGCATAGCAAAAATACACAAAGGAGATCATCTATGCAGAGAAAGTGAGACTACACAGCACATGTAGGAGCTTTACAGGGATGTGGAGTCAAGAGCAAAGATAATTCTATGCTACATGGAATAAATAAATTTGAGATTTCAATGGTGAGAAGGGGTAAGCAAACATTTTATAATTCCATTTTTTAATTTGAAAAGTTCTATATCTACATGACCTAAAACTTATAAGAATAAAGGAAGAAAAAGTACTCATACATCAACAGTCCTAATATAATCAGTTACTTTGGATTGTTTCTTATTGTCTTTCTTCACACACATTTTTATATACTTGTAATTATAGTATATAATTTTTATCCTATTTTTCCACATAACAGGTTATCTTTACCATTTTCCTTGTTACACAACCTATATAACCATCATGTATAAACTTTCTCATGTAAGATTTCAAAAGTACAGAAAATTAGAACAAATAGTGTCATGACCGCTACCTAGCCATCATCCAGATGAAACCGTTATTAACTCCTGGCCAATCTTGTTTCATCTATGCTCTTATCCACTTCCTCATCTCCCCTGGATTATTCTGAAGCAAATTCCAGCATCATACCATTTCATGTGTAAGTATTTTCAGGATACAAGCCTCATTTTTTTAATGACTGCAAAATAGCCATTGAGCAGGGGAGAGAATAAAACATATTTAATCATTTCTTCATTGCTGGACATTTGGTTTGTTCTAATTTCTCACTGTTATAAATGACACTGTGATTGACATATTCTTATATAACTTTTTCCATCATTTGGATAATATTCTTAGAATAGGTTCCCAGACAGGAAACCCATGGGTCATGGTGTATAAATATTCCAAGTATATTCTTAACTGTGTTATACTAATTTATGAAGCCACTAAAAATGTCCAAGATACTGTACCCTTATCATTAAGTATTACCATTAAAAAAACAATGGAATTGAACAGAAGGAGTAATACTTCATTCCTGTCAAGCAAAACAATGTGGAAAGAGGGGCACCTGGGTGGCTCAGTCAGTTAAGCGTCTGACTCTTGGTTTCAGCTCAGGTCCTGGGATCCAGCCCTGTGTCAGGCTCCGTGCTCAGCATGGAGTCTGCTTGAGATTCTCCGTCCTTCTCCCTCTGCCCCTCCCCCTGTGTGCTCTTTCTCTCTCTCTCTCTCTCTAAAATAAATAAATAATTCTTAAAAAAAACAAAACAAAACACATAATGGGGCACCTGGGTGGCTCAGTCGTTAAGCCTTCAGCTCAGGTCATGATCTCCCAGTCCTGGGATGGGGCCCCACATCGGGCTCCTGGCTCCGCAGGGAGTCAGTTTCTCCCTCTCCCTCTGCCTCTCCCTCTCCCTCTGCCTCTCCCTCTGCCTCTCCTTCTGATTGTGCTCTCTCTGTCTCTCTCTCTCTCAAAACGAATAAAGAAAACCTTAAAAACACACACACACACACACACACACAAAACAATGTGGAAAGAGAAAGCCTTGTTTTGATGCCAGGTGGTTATGGAAGGATTTCAACTGCAAGGCATCTTCCATGGGACAGGAGGTAGGTTTGTTTGGCTGAGATGAGGAGTGGCTAGGACTCCATGCCTGCTTCTCCTTTGCTCACAGCGTTTTCCTTAGCCCGTGTGCCTTCCCCATCTCCTTCCCTAGACCTTGAGGGATAGGTCTGTAAGTTACACATAGTACAACTGTCAGAAAACAACAAGCAAGACTGGTGAATTGGTGAGCATGTGATTTAATACCACCTTACCATGTGCTCTCTTTTCTGAAGGAGTTCTGCTATCCAGTAAGTGGGGGGTGGGAGTCAGTAGGTGCAGATAATATATAAAACAACATGGGGAGCGATGGGTTATAGTGGGAACACAGTGGATTGGCATTCCAGAGAACAAGTTCTAAATCCCCACCTTGTGAACTCTACCTCTGAAACTAATAATATAATATGTTAAGTAACTGAATTTAAATAAAATAAAATTTACACATAAATAAATTTCCACCTTGTTATCATAGTAGGTAGTGTCCAAAGATGGTCATCAATTCTTTTCCTCCTCATATATGCAACCACTCCTCAGATTAAGAGGTAGAGTCTATTTGCTCTCCCCTTGAGTCTGAGCTGGCCTTAGTGATTTTGTTTAACCAATATAATGTGGAACTTCCAAGACTAGGTCAAAAATAGCTTTTGCTGTTCCCTTTTGGGATGAGTTGCTCTGGGGACAATAGCTCTTGGAACCCAGGCACTAAGTTGTGAGACGCCCAGGTGACATGAAGAAGCCAGGTGGAGGCGCTCTGATTAACAATCCCCGCTGAATTTCCAGCCCAGAGCCAGCTTGACTGCTAGCCATGGGTGACAGCCATCTCTGGCCAAGCTTTCTGATGACTTCTTTTTTTAAAAAAGATTTTATTTATTTATTTGTGAAAGAAAGGCGGTGGTGGGGGAGAGAGAGAGAGAGCACAAGTGGGGGGGGGGGTCAGAAGAAGAGGGAGAAGCAGGCTCCCCGGTGAGAGGGAGCCTGATACAGGGCTCAATCTCAGGACTCGGGGATCATGACCTGAGCCAAAGGCAGATGCTTAACCCCCAAGCTTTCTGATGACTTCTGACTACAAAAGCATAACAGATCCCAGATGAGGATGGCCCAATGAGCACAACCAATCACAGGACAGTGACAGATAATAATACCTTGTTCTTTTTCAGCCACTACATTTTGGAGTGGTGTATTATGCAATAACAGACAAATGGGATGGTTACCAACTAGGTATTACCTTTGACAAATCAGTTCGCCTCTTTGGGTCTCAGTCTCCTAATCCGTAAAATAAAGAGAGGAGACCAGAAAATCTCAAAGGTCACTGTAAGCTAGATGATTCTATAACTTCAGTTGTCATCAAGACAGGATCAAAAGAATGATCAATGGTCTATCCAATTTTTTTATTGAAATAACCACAATAAAGTGAAGTCATGTCAGAGGAAGCCAAGCTCCTGATGAGAGATTGACATTTTTAAGGAAGACTAGAAAAAAGTAAATAATCTGCTAATGAAGAAGAGAGAGACATAAAAAAAGAATCATGCACGTTCACACACCTTCTCATTCAAAGAAACAACATGTACTACTTACTCTTTATCATATTTAACACGTTTAATAACATAAGTCTTCCCATCAATTTTGTGCTTTGCTTTGAAAACCTGACCATATCCGCCTGAGGCAATCGGTGTTATTTCTGTAAAATCACAAGCAAACCTGAAAAGAGAAATGCCACTGTTATTCTGAGTTCAGTGGTCATAGCCCACCCCTGCCCCCCACCCAACACTTTCACTTCCCCTTAACATCACTGGCACAACGGACTGAATAACAAACACGGCTCTACCCTTCTATATAAGAAGAGTCCAGGGCGCCTGGGTGGCTCAGTCGGTTAAGCGACTGCCTTCGGCTCAGGTCATGATCCCAGGGTCCTGGGATCGAGTCCTGCATCAGGCTCCCTGCTCTGCGGGGAGCCTGCTTCTCCCTCTCCCACTCCCCCTGCTTGTGTTCCCTCTCTCGCTGTGTCTCCCTCTGTCAAATAAATAAATGAAATCTTTAAAAAAAAAAAAAAAAAAAAAGAAGAGTCCACTCCACAGAAACTCTTGAATCACAATAGTTTCTCTCGCTCCTGCTCCCGTTGTAACAAATCACCCTAGTAATGACATTCAACTTCTGGCTGCACAAAAGTCATAATAAAGATGCTTACTTAAGGTGTAAAACTTCAGAAGGAAGCACCATATTCGGTTCCCCAGCTACCACCAAGCTGTCATAAGAGAAATGAGCATGGTCTCTGAGCCCACCTACATGTGTAACTACCTGGTTTTCCCCTCTCTCTCCTGCCCCACATTCCATCATTAAGTCCTGCCAGTTCTACTCCCCAAACATATCACTGGTGTGTGCCCACTTTTCCCCATCTCCAACATCTTCACACCAGTCCAAGCTCCCGTCAGCCACCACAGAACCGTGCTAGCTCAGACACTCCACTTCCGAGTCTCCTTCCTTTGCTCCAATCCATGAACCACGCAGCAAGCAGGGGGAAAAACTCTGAGCCCGTCTCTCTGTTGCCTCAACTCTCCAATAGCCTCCTTTTGCTTTTAGCAAACCCCAGAAAGTCCTTAGATAGCCTAAAAGGGGTCTCGTGCTTCCCTCCCCAGCTTGTCCCATGGCACCACGCCCTTGCTCACGCACTCCAAGCACACAGCGTCTGCCCCCTGAACGCTCACATACCATTCCTACCTTCACTTTCCCACATGCTCTGCTTTTACGAAACCACAGACCCCACCTTCCTGTGCTAACTCACCCTCCAGGTGCCCCGACATGGCTGACCCCAGAGAAAGCCTTTGCCTCCTCCTCACACTAAACCCAACAGTCCTATTTCCATTTCTTACCAGGTCATTGCTTTCCCTTGAGACCTCTGACCATAGATTATAATTACAGATTTTTCACGTAATTATCATCCCCACAAAGCTCTGTGAGGGCGGAAGCTGTTTCTGTTTGATCCCACTATAAATCCAATGCCCAGCACAGTGCCAGGCATATATGAGGTTCTTATTAAATGTTTGTTGATTCTTTATCATTTTTTTTTCACACTTGTATTCAATCTCCTCCTGTTGCAAAGAAGCTTCACATTTGTTTTAGATATTTTGTTCAAACCCAAACACATAGTCTACCACAAGAGGAACCTTTTTTTCAATGTGAAATCTGGAATGGAGCTGGAAAATGGAAAACAGGTTCGAGTGGATCTATTTGGATTCCTTCAGGGGTCTTTAAAAAAAAATCACTGGTTTATAGAAATATTTACCTTCAATATTAAAAACTTCCATGGGTGTCAGAAAAACTCACATCAGTATCACACAGATCTACATTTACCACATTCCATCTGGATTCATCTAAACATTACCTCTCCAAGAGACGATGATTCTTTGGGGGTCTGACTGTACTAAAAAAAAATTAACTGTTCAGGGAGAAATAGAATTTAACCTGGCTGATGTACAACAGTCCCTTCAGAAGCTTTTGTCGAATGCGCAAACATATCTTTAAACAGATTCTTTTTTACAGGTTTCCCTCTTACCTGACTTCCACAGTGTACTTGTTTTCTTTGGTCACAGGAGAGTTAAAGGTAGGTGCCAAACTTCTAAAATTTAAGAGAAGAATATAAAACTCAAATAAAATAGAACTTTGTCATGCGCTAGTTTTTTTTATATTTTGAGTCAACTATTAGAATTACAAGGTAAAAAGTGATAACCTTTCTTTATGAAACAATATACTGACAGTTCTCCTCTATCCACTGATAATTTTTCACTCCTTTCCTGATTCCTTTTTTTTTGCCTTAACACATTCACTGTTGGTGTGCCACCAGCCTCTCCTTTGTTCCTTACAGACTCAAAACCAAAGGAAATAGATCTCCTTGCACCATCATTCTGGTCTTTGTACTTTACTCCTGGCTGGTGGTGAACCATGTGCTATTGGAAGTTCAAACCCCACTAATAACTAAACATATTCCAATTGCTATCTTCCCCCTAAGCCCTCAAGTCTTGAACTTCCTTAACCCCATCAGTGTCCATGATTCCTGTCTGTATCTCCTTCTCCTTTGCCTCTTCTTCACCCAGTTATTGGAACTCTATTCCCTCAAATCCTGTCCACTCTTCCCATACAGTTTGTCTTGCAAATTATCCTCATCCCTTGTCACTGCCATGATAACCATGGCTGACAGCTGGATCATCTTACACACACACACCTCTCTTCTCTCCACTCAAACACCCACATCAGGAATCATCCTTCCCTGACACATCTCCTACTGTTCAGAATATATTGGTGGCTCATAATGGCTCCCACTGCCATCTTGCCCTCATTGATGACTTATGGTTATGTCCTTGTTTTTCTCTTCCGTTTGAGAAACCAATCCACCATCATTTATATAACATTGGATCTTTTTCTCTTCTTACCCAAGTCATTATGCCATCTCTACCCTACCTGCCTGTCTGCAAAATAATGCAGTTCTCTGGAAAGTGCCCCTCCAAGTTCACTTCTGTCAACCTCTTCCAAAATAATGCCCTTAACCAATGACCCTAGTGATCCCCACAGGCCCTTTCATCTACGGTGCAGTGTGTACCTACATTTAAAGATTTCTCTACATATGTAAAATCATTTGTTTATAGATTTCAAACTTTTTGGGATCCTTAACCATGCTTTCTACCTCTGAAATTCCACTCAAAGAAGGGTATATAGTACTCTACAAGTACTGAAGACTTAGTAAATAAGGTTAATAACCTAAGTCTGAAACAAAACTTCATTTCCAAATATGTGCACTGCATAATGATACCCACCTTTTCACCTTCTTTTCACTACTTTTGACATTGCTCTGTAACAAAAGAAAATGAAAAACAATTGTAGATGATTAAATCAATTATCTTGCTTTATCTTGTTCTTTTTCCTCCTGTACTTCTGGATGGTTCTGTGACATTTTTTTTTTTTGGTCCGTTAGATGAACAGCCTCATTAAGTTGTGTACTCCCATCAAGCCCTGCTTCTCAGTTTACTTGGCTAGATCAATGTTCTCATCTATTCTAGCAACCAGACAGATAAGGCAGGGAGGACAAAAAAGCAATCGGGGCAAGTTCAGCAGAAGCACTGGGTCTCAACAAGAAGGCGTGCATCACAGTTCTCCACAGTGCTAAAGACACAGATGGAGCTCAGGGATCCAGTCTAAAATAATTCCCCAAGTGTTTCTTATCTGGTAACCGGCTAAAAATGGCAATGCTAAAAAAAAAAAGAAAGAGAAAAAATGGCAATACTAATAATTTCATTTTTAGCACAAATTAAATTTTAATATTTAGCAAAAAAAGAGGAATCTTCAATATATCTCAAAAATGCTATTCTTTATTCATATTCACTTTTATTCTGGTAGGTTTTGTAGTATTACCAATTTGAATACGTTGACACTGAGCAGGGAGCATCAAACTAAGAGTTTTTGAGCTCATACCACTTCCCACTGTATAATGACTATAGTATATTAATTTAGCCATTCTGTCAAATGACAATGTTTCTTAAGTCTCCTCCTGTTACAAATGAGGTTGCAAGAACACACTTACATATGTTTCTCTGTACATACATAGGAGTGCTTCTCTAGTAGACATCCCCAGGAATGGAACTGCTTGAAGGCATTGCGTGCACACCCTCCGCTTTGCTACATATTGCCAGACTGTCTCCACAATGGTTGTACCAACTTATACTTCCACCCGCAGCATGTAGTAGTAATAATTGGAATACAGCTGTGCCGATGCTTAGTATTGCCAGACTCAAATTTTGCCATGGTGATGGGTTTAAAAAAGGTACCTAACTGTTGTTTTGATTTGCATTTTCCCTACTACTATGCAGTAAAGCATCTTTTCGTATTTTTGTTGCCCATTTGGGTATCTCTTCTCTGAATTGTCTGTTCAGATCTTCTGCACATTTTTCTGAGTTGCTTTTCTTTTTCTTATCGATTTGTTTACAGTTCATTATAAATAGGGCACTTACGTAACACTAATTGTCACCACAAAAATTATCTGATTTTTAAGTTTAGTTCTGATTTTTTAAAACAGGAGCAGACTATATTAATGGACATTTTAAGTAGTGTCCAGCTGGTAGAAGATAAGCAAGATCACAGGAATATATGAAAACATGACGGTGAGTAGGGAGAGGAAGATGGGAGTGAAGAGTGGAAGAATTTTGCAAGTGAGGAACAGGGGTTAATAAAGAAAGGAGAAAGCCAAAATGCTGCCACATATTAATATGAAATAAGAATGCATGAGATAAAAGTAGAAAAATTATGGTTGAGTACTGAGGCAATTTTTAAATGAAGAAACACAATAGAGAAAAAGATCATCAGGAAGCTAGAGGCTAATACTATACCAGAGGAGTTGAAGAATTGTTTATACTGTTGCTGTTACAATTTCCTTCTGGTGCATTTGGTGAGAAATCATTTTCAAGTGGTGATTTAGAAGCACTAGAAGATAAGGGGATAATTATTAGTTTGTGAATTCTGCCTATTTTTTGTTGATCAGAATTTCTTTCTCTAAATTCTCCTTAAACATTAAACATTTTCATAAAAATGTGCTCTCAGGCAGCAATCTGAATTTGTTAAATTATCACAGTTGTTTGTCCACACTTACGATATGCTATTCACCGAAGTGTTGTTTCCCGAATTACTAGGTGAAGTAGTCCAAGAATCACTTGATAGTGAGTCATCTTTCTGAAAGAAAGAGTACCCCTTAGGAGTTTTAAGAGCAATTATATTACTTCTCCGTACTGGCTCAGTCTCTGTGTGCTAACTACCACATTTATTTCTGGATGCTTGATCTGGATTTAAAAAACAACCCTGGGGGCACCTGGGTGGCTCAGTTGGTTAAGTGTCTGCTTTCAGCTCAGGTCATGATTTCAAGGTCCTGGGATCGAGCCCCACCATCGGGCTCCCTCCTCAGCGGGGAGTCTGCTTCTTCCTCCCCCTCTCTTTCTGCCCCTTCCCCCAGCTCATACTCTCTCTCTCTCTCTCTCAAATAAATAAAATCTTAAAAAAAAACCAATCCTGAGTTGTGAACAGAATTTTACTCTCTGGGGCCTCATGGCCCCATGGCTCGTGGCTCATTGGTGAAACACAGAATGGAGGAATCCTTTTGCTATGTGATTGGTTGTCTTGGCATCATCTAAACACAGTCTTACCTCAAATCAACTTCAGAAAGCATCTTAAAATTTAAAAGTGAAATCCAAAGGCATTTCATACCATTAAGGTTTTCTCTGATTGTATCTGCTCATATGCAAATTTAGCAGCCATCTGTTTTGCCTCCTGTTTGGTAGCACCTCCACCAACAGCATATTCTTTCTGCCCAATTTTGCATCTATAGTAAAATCTAGGAGAAATGATAGAGAGTATTTACCCAAATACCAAAAAAACCCAGTAAATCTAACTTAGGATTTGGAAACAAACACAGATGAACAAAGACCTTAATATAACCCTAATTTAATGGGTACATTTAGTTTGTATCTTGTAGAATATAAATCTCTGATAAGATGACTGACCAATTTGCCAAAATAACCAGGATAGCTTGATGTCATCAGCTTGCATTTGTGTTAGGCAAGGAACCTCGGACAATTATATGAGAACTCTACTGAATATGGAAAAGCAATGTGTATCAGGGAGTTACTATGCATTAATTCAAAATTATTCCAGTGTTATTTGCCATGGAGGCAAATACACCCAACCAGGGTTGAGTCTTCCCTGCTGGGCCCTGAAGGCAGAATTAGATTGAGTGGCTGGGTGGTTTCTACAGCTCCTATTCTCCCGGGCACCCCTAAGTAGACTTCTCTCTTTTAGGTAACTTATGTTAGAGTGTTTAATCCCAAGGAACCAAACAGGTGAGCTACGAAAAAATAGCCTCCTATTTTATTGAGATTGACTCACACAATTCACTTTGGACTATTTCATGCCAATGAATACTCTTCCGTTTTCCTCTTCCTGGTTCTGGCCTAAAAGCCATCAGAGCTAAAAAGTCCATAACTGAGTCAATTCAGAGGACAGTATTCTGAAGGGGTCATTTGGACTATTTGCCATTTAGATTTTTCTCTCTCTCTCTCATTCACTGGGTAGGTTGTAGCCAAGAAACAATCTCCTTCAGGCTCATTTACTTTCTGCTTTTCCTAGTTCCTATCCATTCTTATCTCCACTTCCAAAATCTTGGCAACTCTGAAGCTCTACTCCATCCCACCCTTTATAATCCTTAAATCTGGGTCTCCTCACAGCCTGTGGCTAAAACCCATTTCTTTTAAGACCTGGTATTTGTCTAGAGAGTGACACCATTTAACTGAATGTGAAGGACAAACACCTAGACAAACGGCTCTCTAATCTGATGATGGTGAAGAGAGAGTCATTTTATCTACACATGTGGTCCAGTCATTGTCATACAGCAACTCCCACTGTGATCTGTGGGAGGGAAACATCTCCACACACACACACACCCCCAGCAGGGGCACCCCATTCTCTCTTCGGTCTCCTGCAGACTAAACCATCCAGATATACCTCAGAAATAAAGGATTCCCCAGATTTGATCCATTATGGTATATGGGTCCCAAGTCTTCAGCAATTAAGCATTTTCATATTTTAATTATAAAGGTGACCAGTTGTGTATAAGTCATATAAAACCTTCCATGCAAAAGGTCCCCAAAAGGAAGACAAATATTTCTAGAAAATTAGACATGAAAACAAGCCCGTTCTATTGCTTAGATACAATGAAATAGAAGGAAAAGCTGAACTACATCTCACCTTTCTGGCCCATATTCTTTCAATTCACATTGTTCATAATTTACAGATAGTTTTTCCTTCTGGGCAAGCCTATTCATACGGCCTATGAAATTCTCAAAGGATCCCACTCCTAATCCTTCTGAAGTATCTGTTGTCAGTGATAAAGAACTAACTGCCTACAAAGAAAAAAAAATCTTGTTTAATACAGATGAAAACAAAGATTTAACCATTTTATTTCCTCTAATAAAATTACTAAATGAATAATTTGAAAGACAACTTAGATTTTATGTATTGCCCTAGTCTACTACCTTGAGTAAAAGTCTAAGTATATATCTTTTTCTACCATAAAAAATCCACAAGAAAAAAGGTTAACAATAGGAAAGGAACCATCCTTTTATAGTTTTCTATGGAAAAACAAAATAGTGAACTTTCTTGTTTATCCATGCAAAATACTCTAACACTGTCTAGCTCACTCCACCCTTTGTAAATCTCAAAAAACAAGATAACCAATATTGAAGTAAAGCTATATCCTGGATCACATCTTATGGGGAAAGAGGAATATAACAGCACCATTCCTTCCATTCTTATCTGTACCTTTTTCCTAATCTGGCAAAAGCTTGTCCAAAGTTTTTCTACTTTATTAATCTTGTCAAAGAACTAACTTTTGGTTTTATCGACCTTCTTTATTGTTTCTTAGTTTTCTTTTACATCAATGTTGGGCCTTGTTATTATTTTCTGTCTTCTGCTTTTTTGGGAAAAGGTAGTCTATTGTTCTCCTAACTTCTTGACTTGATTTTCTGGCTCATTAACAATTCGTGAGTTTGCAATTTTGCCTGATTTACTTTCTCCAATTTGGGTTACAAGGGTGACATCATCGAGGAAGATTTTTCAGGAAAGTTATCTTGAAAGTCAATGTTTTCAAAATTTTCAATATCTGAGAAACAATCCTCTTTGGTCCCACATGTAAACGACTGCTTGTCTCATTTTACGGCCAGTTCTCTGCTATCCCATGGTTTAAAATGATGCTGTGGACAGCATGATTTTTTTTTCGTTTTTACATTTTGAATAATTTCCTTTTTCTGCCTCGATGCTTATAGGATTTTTTCATCATCCCTAGAGCCCAGGACTTTCCCAATGATCAATGTTCTTGGAGGCTCTGTGTTTTTCTCTATCTGTTAAGTTGCTTTCATCTGCATTGAGGTCTTCCTTTATTTCAGAAACACTTTCTTTCCTTTTTTTTTTTTAAAGATTTTATTTATTTATTTGAGAGAGAGAGAAAGCATGAGGTGGGGAGGGTCAGAGGGAGAAGCAGACTCCTCGCTGAGCAAGGAGCCCGATGCGGGACTCGATCCTGGGACTCCAGGATCATGACCTGAGCCGAAGGCAGTCGCTCAACCAACTGAGCCACCCAGGCGCCCCAGAAACACTTTCAACTGGAATCTCTTCAGATAGCTTTCTCTGTACTCTTTACTCTGTTCTCAGCCTCCAGGATACCAATTCCATGAATGCTGGTTTTCCATCACCTGTCCTGCTCATCCATCATCCTCCCCATGGTCCTTCCATCTCTTTGTCCTTTGTCCTTCCTCCCCACTGTCCTTCCATCCCTCAGTTGGGTGCAGGGACTCCTGCCAGAACTCGTCAGCTCATTTCTCGCTGTTTCCTTTCCCGTTCACTCAACTTCAGAGGTGGTCTCTACTGCTGGCACTCTAAATGGGTATTGGCAGGCTTTGCCCACTATTTCTTAGATGAACCTCTGACTCAGGGCTCTACAGAAATGGAGATGGAGGAAAAAGACTGTACTTCTGAATGGAAAGAACCTGTGAATGGCTTTACTCTGTGGGTGTTTTCTCACAGAGTAAAGTTAAAAAGGGCATTAACTCACCTTGTTTTCTTCATTAAGTTTTTCAATAGCTAATTTGGCTGCAGCATTTTTGGCTTCCTTCTTTGATTTACCTTCCGCTTCTGAATATTTTCTCTCATTTATGGTAACTTGAAATGTAAACCTGATTACAAAGACAATATTCACAAAATGTTATAAAACCCATGCATTGTCTAAGGCCAAGTGTTCCAGTCACACTGCCTCCTGTGTTAAAACCTGACTAGGTTTTAACCGGCTCAGTATAGAATTTAAGCAGTTACCCTCAAACAGCAAAACAGCACATCATCTTCACTCCAGAGCTAAATTATTGACTTCTAAATTGTGCCAGAGTTGCCATTCTTCTAGTTCATATTTTATAGAGATATACCTTTAAAAAAAAAACCAGCAATTTGGGGTGCCTGGCTGGCTCAGTTAGTACAGCATGCAATTCTTGATCTCAGGGTTGTAAGTTCGAGCCCCACATTAGGTGGAGAGATTACTTTAAAAAAATCTTTTAAAAAAATAGCAATTTACTTTAAGTTATGCGCAGGTCCTTCCTTAGACAGTTCATAATACCTAAGTACCAAGCTGTGCTTCTGACAGTATGTATTAAGTTCCTCTATAGAAAAACTTGGTGGACGCTCATTGGCCATTTCTTCTAGTAACCTAGAACAGAAGAGATGTTTGAAAAAAGTGAGACATAACATATTTAACCTGATTATCCCAATCCAGTGTAGGAGACAAAACAGGATAAGAAGAATCTTCTTTATAAGACTCATCTCAGCCCCACATAAATCCAGAGAAAGCTTTCTTACAAAATCTTTTTCTCTCATGATCTGCACACCAAGCTAATTTCTCCAAAACTTTCTATGTTCAAAACTCAGCTGGCCAAAAAAGGAAAAGGGTCTTTCTCTTCCACTCTGCTCTCTGCTTCCAGTGAGGGTCAGGGACAGGTTTATCCACCTGCTTGAACTACACAAGTAGAATCAGAACTCTTCATGTTGAGAAGAATAAGGTTGAGAGTACATACGTAAAGTGAAGTTTATGAAATCATTAAAGATTTCACTATACAGAAACAGATTCCCCTGTGAAATCCCAAAAATCTTCCCTTTAAAATTTGCATTAGTCAATTATAGATAAATTTACCTGGGTAAATTATGACCCCAGTTTATGGGTCTCATTAGACCAAGAGAGTAGCAATGATTTAAGCCATAATGAAAATCTAAAAAATATAGAATCTAAATATAGGAGCCAAAACTATAAAACTCTTAGAAGAAAACATAAGGGTAAATCTTCAGAATCTTGGATTTGGCAATGGAATCTTTGTGATGACAGCAAAAGAAAAAAGATAGATTGGGCTTTATCAAAAGTAAAAACAGGGGCACCTGTGTGGCTCAGGTGGTTAAGCATCTGCCTTCAGCTCAGGTCATGATCCCAGCATTCTGGGTTCTCTGCTCTCTCTCTCTCTCAAATAAATAAATAAATAAAATCTTTTTTAAAAAAAGTAAAAACATTTGTGTCACACAGGACGCTATGAAGAAAATGAAAATCTACAGAATGGGATATCTATAATTCATATATGATAAGAGTCCAATATCCAGAATATATAAAGAACTTTTACAACCCCACAACAAAAAGACAACCCAATTAAAAAATTGGCAAAGGACCTGAACAGACATTTCTTCTAAATATTCTAGTGCCCCAGGGCCCTGACCTTAGATCTCCTCTCTGCTCTACTAACACTCACTCCCCTCTAGATCGCCTCTAGACTTATGGCTTTAAATTCCACCTACACAATGATGGTTATCAAAAGAACACCTCTACCCCTGACTATTTCCTGACTCTAACTGCTTCTGTCCAATAGGCTGCCTCCCTGAAATGCTCTTGACTCTACCCCATCCACTGTCTTCACCTGATCAACTCTTATTTCCCATAGATTTCAGCTCAGATGTCACTTTCCAGACATCCTTGAAGAGGTCCTGGTTTGGTGCTCCACAACAGCTCTTGTCCCCTTTCCTGCAATTGCTTGTATAACTGACTGTCTTCCAAAAGAGACCATGAGCTACAAGAGGGACGGGGCCAGGCTGTTATAATAGGGGCTCCATAATCAATGAATGAATGCCAAAATATCTGCAGACCTCCCCCACCTGCATGACTTGTCACATGCTTTTCTCTTTGCTTTGAATGCCGTATCTGCACCCTCTGTCCACCAGGCAACTCCCACTCATCTGTGAGGCTCGCATGTTTTCTTTGATGTTGGAGGGGCAGCCAGTCCTCCTCCAAGGGCCCACCACTCCACCTTGCCCAGCTCCCATAACAGCCCAGTCATTGAGCAATCTGGGAAGCAGGTTCTATGTCTTACTCATTTTGTATCACCAATAGCCAGTGGCAAGTAGTAAATGCCAAACACTTGGATGGTGTATAGGAAAATGAAAGAATGACTCATTAAAATGAAATACTCTACTTGAAACCCCCCCGTCTTCTCCCTTTTCTTCATCTGCTGTTTTCCGTGCGTCCTTTCTTCATTTATTCAATAAATGCTTCGCAAGTACCAGGCACTATTCTGACAATGAGTATACAGATGTGGACAGGATAAATTCACACCCGACCTGCATTCCACTGAGGGAAGACAGAAAATGACCATGCACAGAAACAAATAACAGGAACGGACAATATGATGACCAGATGGCTGGAAGTGCTATAATGAAATTAAATAGGGTGCAGCATAGAAGGTGAGTTGGTAGATAGGGGCAGAGATAAGGGGGAGGCGGTTTTAGACATAGTGGTCACAAAAGACCTTTCTTAGGAGGCAATTTTAAATGAAGACTGAATGATGAGAAAGTCCATCATATCAAGATATGGCGGAAGAATATCTCAGGAACCAGCATGGCCTTTGAAGGGATAACAAAAAGATCAAGGGGACTGCTGCACAGTGAGTGAGGGGAAAAGAGTAGGAAATGAGTCAGAGATGTCAGCGCCATGCACATAGACTTTGTAGGTCATGGTCAGAACCAGTGGATGGTGTTCCAATCACAACAAGAAGTTACCAGACATTCTCTAAGTAGAGGGGGTATGTGACTGGATTTATGTTTTAAGTGATGACTCTGATACTATGTAAAGAACAGGGTCTGGGGGCAGGGACAGGTGTGGGCAGCGGAGCAGAGCACGAGCAGAAGCAAGGAGACCAAGCAAGGCTGCTGCCGTGGTTTGGGTGAGCAATGATGGCGGCTGGAAGCGCGTGGTGGGAGTATCGAGAGTGTGAGCAAAGGCAAAGCCGTCACGTTACTGCTTAGTGTCGTGGAGACAGTCAAGCTTTAGAGGCCACACTGCTCTGGGCTACACCCTCTCTGAACCTTTCATTTGTGACCTGAAGACAGGAATAAAAACACGTGATTCAGAGGTGGCTGTGGGGAATAAATCAGATGAAGAGCACCCAGCAGAGTCCCCCACACCATTAACCCTCAATAGATGGTGCTCCTGGTCTGCAATTCTGAAACCCAAAACGCACTAAAAACTGAGGTTCATTTTGTTTTCATTTGTTTTGTTTTTGATAGGTTTGTAGCCCCCTGTCTAGACCTGGGCTGACATGAGCTATTTATAGTCTTTATGATACTTTGTTGTCCACGTATACATTTCACTACAGAAATTGTTTTATTATAGAGGGCTGCCCCCAAATCCTGCTGAGAGCATTCTATAATAGACAGGATTTATGCTGCCTTACTTTTCTAAAATCCCAAACTCTTGGAATACCAGAACATGCCCAAGGGTGTTTGATAAGGATCTGTAGCTGTACCATTATTTTTAGGAACCAGTGTCATTTACTTCAGTTACAACCATGAGACCATACATCAGATTGGGAGGGGATCACAGATATCAGAAGAGCAGTTATGGAAGAGCCCTTAGCAATTAGAACCTGAAGTTCTATCAACTACTCTAAACCCTTGGCGCTTTTAATGTTAAGTAACTGCCGCTCATCAGAATGACAAGCCAGTTCGAATTTAAGTGAACTATATGTGCAAACTAAGAAAGTGCTGAATTAACATGTTTGAAAAAGTACTTCCAAGTCTGGAAAAAAGAAACGGCAGGCTTCTTTTCAACTACTGTCCATAAATCTTGTTTTGGGGCGCCTGGGTGGCTCAGTTGGTTAAGCGACTGCTTTTGGCTCAGGTCATGATCCTGGAGTCCCTGGATCGAGTCCCACATCGGGCTCCCTGCTCGACGGGGAGTCTGCTTCTCCCTCTGACCCTCCCCCCTCTCATGTGCTCTCTCTCTCATTCTCTCTGTCTCAAATAAATAAATAAAATCTTTAAAATAAATAAATAAATAAATAAATAAATCTTGTTTTGATTCTACGTTATCATTTTCCTAAAGGAAATCTCCAGCAAAAATCACTATCGGGGGTTATGTGTCCATCTTCCTCATCTTGTTCCTTCTGGCAGACTCTGAGCTCCCTGTGGACCCAGCCCCTTCCAGGTCCTGCACAATGCTTAGCTATTACTATTACTATTACTATTACTATTCATTAAACATATATTTAAAGAGGCCCTATTACTACTAGGTGCTGGGGTGGCACCAGAGCACAAAACCCTGCTCTTGTGAACTTACTAGCGGAGGAACACAGACAAATCCATAAAATAATGTCACAGGCTGATAACTACTATGTTGAAAACTGAAGCAGAGTAAGGGGGGGGGGGGACAGTCAGGGAAGGGCGGGGTTTCTTTTACATAGCTGGTTGTTCAGAGAAGGCTGCTCTGATGAGATGACATTGCAAGAAGTACAGGGTAAAGCAAAAGAATGACCCATGCAGGCATCTGGGGGAAGAGCTTTCCAGGAAGGGGAAACAGGTGTGCAAAGGCCCAGAGGCAGGCATGTGCTTGCCTGCCTCCCAAAACAGCAATGAGGCCTGTCTGGTCGCAGTGGAGAGAGCAAGGGGCCTTGTCTGCGCCATTTACTGAATTTTTTTTTTTTTAAGATTTATTTATATATTTGAGAGAGAGAGAGCGCGCGAGAGAGCTGGGGGGGGGGAGGGGCAGAGGGAGAGACAGAATCTCGAGCAGGTTCCCTGCTGAACACCGAGCCCTGCGTGGCGGGAGGCGGGGAGGCTCCAGATGGCTGGAGGCTGTGCTCCACCTCACGACCCCCAGATCAAGACCTGAGCAGAAATCAAGAGTCCGCGGCTTAACCGAGCCACCCAGGGGCCACCACTGACGGAATCCTCAGGAGATGGTGAGCTATTGGGGTGATCCGAGCAGAGGAGTGTCCTGTTCTGACTTAAAGGACCCCCTCGGCAGCTGCAGTGTTGAGAAAAGATATGGGGGACGGGGTGGTACGGAGTTGGGGCGGGGGTGAGGGGTGGGGTGGGGTGGGCTAAAAGGCCCGGCCATTGAGAAACAATTGCAACTGGGTAGGCAGGAGATGTTCAGCCAGGGCCTATTTAGCCAATCTATGGCAAATCCAGGCCTCCATATTTCCCATCTGTCATCTTTCCCAACTTAACTGTTTTCCGCTAGATCCCCCGCCACCCCGCCACTCCGGCCCGGGAAATTCGTTACTTGCTCTTAGAGAAACTCTTGGCGGGGGCGGGGGGGAACGGCTGTCAGTCCCCAGCGCGCTGCGCGATCGCTTCCCGGGCTCCGGGCCTCGGACAGCCCTCCCGCGCGGCCGG